AAATTTGGATGTTGGCATCTTGACATGTAGCAATAATTAATTTGTCTTGATATTTAGCTTTCAGAGTTGTACCATCAACTAGAATTACGGGTCATATTGCATTTCGAATTCAAAATCACCGAAATAACAGACGGGAATTATCATATCTGCATGAGAAAATGGATTTAATCAACTTCATTTATTAATTATAAGAAAAAATCAGTGTCAACATAAATCAGTGCAGAGTCAATGTTAATTGGCTGTTTAACAGCCGAACAGTCGGACTGTTTGGTTGTTAACAGCCAAAACAGCCGACTGTTTCGTTGTTTTTGCGTAGGAGAATACGATTCTAAAGAAAAATATTATACATCTATTCAATTTTTTTTTGATAGGTAAGATCTGTTAAAATAAATTTATGCTAACTACTATTTCGACATAAAATTTCTCTATTCAAACGTATACTAATTTACTGAAAATGAAATTAAACATGCGTAAATGTACTTACCGATTTGAAGTAATTGATATGAAAAAAATTTCAACTTCAACGTTTCAAAGTTTTTCTAGATTTTGAGGTTCAAGCAGATGAAAAGATGAGAGTTTTTTCTGTGTTGGAAGCTCGTTTTGAAATTTTTATAAGTGGGAAAGTGTTTGATTTTCAATTATTAGCTAAAAGGGTAGTATAGTCCTTTTAACAATATATTATTTTGTAATTGTACAAAACATTTAAGGGTATCTTTGTCTTTTACCATACAAGAGCCCAATGTCATAATATTCATGATTTTGAAAGTCAAAGTGGAATTTAGGTCCTTTGATTAGGTCACACTTAAAAGTACCCCTTGATATTGTGCGGTCAAAAATTGAAATACAATTTTTTAAAATAACATATCATTAATGAAGATAAGTCAATATATTACTACAATTGCAACCTACGAGTTTTCATACTCTGAAAATGTCGTATAAATACATCATTACTAATATTGTCGAATACATCGTTCTCGATATATGCAACCAAACTATCACTTAAAACAAATTATTAATATCAAGGATTTAAGATAATTGAGGCACAAACTAGAGTCTAGAGAAGAGATTAAAAAACAACAGGACAATAGTACATATTAACACATATAATATATTTTTCAAATTTCAACAAGTAGAAATGCACTTGTATATCTCAAATTTAAAAATAAAAAGCAACTAATTAAAAGCCCAAATTAACGGGAAAAACTAAAGCCACATCCAAATTCAATTAATATAGGTTTGCTACGGAGCTACCTAGATGGAAGAAAAACAAATGTCAAACATGTAGATGGTAGATTTGTTATCAAGATGGAAGAAAAATCACAAAATTAGCACAACAAAAGAAAATCTCTAAATATGAATTGCAAATTCGCGATCTCAAACCTTTTTGTGTTGGCCGATTCTTCTTTTTCTTCTCTCTGATTGTGGGGCTTTAGAGTTTAGGGCAACGGACAGTCCAAAACAAATGCATATGAAATTATGAAAAGCAAAGTTTTGGTAATGGGCAATTGGGCTTGGCAATGGATTTGTGCAAAGCTTGGGTTAATTTACATATTAAAAAAAAAAAAATGGTTTAGCAACAAGTTCAAATAATTTACAGATTACAATAAATAAATTAAAAAAAAAAAACCAGAAATTTTTGTGAGGTCAATTGACCCCACATGACTCCATGTGGGTCCATCCAAGGTTGTAACACAAACCACCGCTACTTTTTCATCGTCGTCCTTGCTATCAGTATCGTCGCTTATATAAAGTATTTTATACACATTTTGCCGCCTATTTCCAACTTCGACGTGGTTGTTGCTTCAACTCCAACATCATCGGAAGCAGTCAAAAGGGAACATTTTTTATTATTATTATTATAATTAAAGTAATGACAACGTAACCATTGAATCTAATCCTCGAGTAATGGACACAATCAGGCTCGTCGACCCTTTTCGGATAGGATTCCATCACATCCTCTAGCATCAATGGCCACAAGGGTTCTGCGTCCCAAAATCATACTACAAGTCGATCAAATTCCCTCTAAAATTAAAACTAATTGAACCGAAAACGAAGTAAAAATCAGATGAAATTAAAATGCAAAAGAGAAATTACTTACCTTATAGCTCTATTTTGTCGCCAGAAGTGGCCATCGTGCTACCGTTCCATCATGTCCACCCCTCACCCCCATTCTCGATGGAGAAAGCTAAGGAAGAATATTGCGGGCGAGTAGTGTTTGGTGGTTTTAGTGAGAGAAAAATTAAATGGGATGATAATAGTTTTTCTATATACTCCATATATATTTCACATACAATGTAACGATTTTTATTAGTGAGAATTATACCGCACTTCGATCATGGGAATGATTGAGCTAACAACATAGGTAGTGGCCGTGGTGTAGATTCCATGAAATATGTGAATAAAATGTGATCTGACCAACTATTTATAATTCATAAATTAAGCCAAACGCGAGCTAAATAATATTCAATCAATATCACCTCCAATTTTTGACATATTCGTGTGTCTAATTTTACTCATTCATCAACATCCTCGTTCTCACTACCTTTTCGTCCTCGAGTACAATACAATAAAATATACGACTAATACAGAATGATCTCTACTCATGATGGTAAGGATAAAACATCCACGTCAACTGTTACAAATTTTGATAATTCAATGTTGAATTATTAAAAATTGTAGGTTTGACCACTGTAACGTTAACGGTGAGCATATTTTATCTTACTCATCATGGATAGAAGATCATGTCTAACGACTAATGATAATAATAACGTAAAACTGACCCTTTTATCAACATGCACAAAATAATGGACTAGCCATCAAAATTGTAAGCATACCAGTGAAAGATTAGTCGATAACCTGCTAAACTAATTTTACTCACAAATGCCGAACAAAAATGGCTAATACCCACACCTTACTAATCATTTTGTTTTTCTTTTTCTCAGAAAGGAATAAAATTGAAGCACTTTTCATTGTATTTTTAGTATTACAATGATAATTATATTAACCTCTACTTTTCACGCCCCAATGAATCAGATTAAGCGTATGATGAATTGTAAACGTTCTTTTTTTTTTTTTTTTTTTAAATTACGTTTTTTTATAAAACTAACTATTGTGTGGAGGAGCACATGAAACACTTAAAGGCAGTGTTTACTACTATGAGAGAACATAAGCTTTACACTAAACTGTCAAAAGTATGAATTTGGACAACCACAATAGATTCCTAGGGTCGTTTGATTTTTAAGAGGGTCTTGCTGCAGAACCATTTCGATTTACAACTCCTTAAAAATCTCTTCTAGTTGAAGGCAATGGAGATCAAAATCAAATGGAATAGATACTTCTTAAATTCTTTCATTATGTGCTTCCCCGCTAAGCTACTAGACTAAAGTAGTTTATAGCGTCTCGTATGGGACATATCTAGTCTTTCCTCAAATAGAGTACTTCATTTTTACTTTTTCGTAGCAGGTTTCTCCGCTCCAAACATACTTACTCGTTTGATCCCCATTAAATTAAATTTCATTTTTTTTAATCACACAATCTTCTATAAAGTAATATTATACATAAATCAAAAAAATTTCCTTCTTTTTCAACTACTCATTTTCAAAATAAATACTATTTTACCCATTTTAATTTGGAAAAATGGGGACCAAACGAGTGCTTATTGATAAGGTAAGGAAGGCTTCATTTGAGGAGCAAGATCGAGATGGCATAAACCGTCCACCACATAGAGCTTGGTAGCCAACTAACTAAGGAAGCTCCATATTCGATTTAACCTGACGAGGCTTGAGTTTGACATTGGTTGCCTTCGCTAGCATGTAGTAACATAATTTTTTTAAATGCACCATATTTTAGTTACATTAAATGTTCATAAACTTTATTTATTGTCACAATCACGTCTTCTACTTATTTTAATCGAATTCTTATTCTCAACCTTCCATTAATTATAATATATTATCTCTGACGACAATTTTAGTCCAAAAGTTTTGTTGGTGTGCTTAAAAACAAGGGAAAAATATTTAGTCTCTTTTATATTTGTTATAGTTTTTCTTATTTTGAAATATGAGAGGCAATCGGACAAGTAGTTCTTTTTTTTTTCCTATATATTTTTTATTTTTTTTAAAGCTCCATATAATAAAATATTTGGATGAAAATCGGAATCAAAAATAAAATATGCTATTTAAATAGAAGGTTGATGATCATAATGAAATTAAAAAGGTTGGTAAAAATAGTAAAGGTAAGGAGCCTTTTATGCAATAAAAAGATGGTCCACTTGTAAGGAATTGTGGTGCCAATATACCACCTGTATCTTAAAGTTAATATAGTATTTGATGACAAAACGCCCTTCCATTTGGATTTGTTCGATCTCTAACCTCTCCAACTTTTATTTCTTATTTTATTTATATTTTAAAAATTAGTAAAAAATATATACTTAAAGTTTATTAATTAAAATATTTATATTTAACGTCTTGTTTAGTTATTTATTCTTGAAGTATGATTTAAACATAAATAATTTAAATATCAATAGAAGGATATGGGCAAAGAATTTTTACCATCCCTACAAAGATATTTTAATTCCCATCTTGCCTTCGTGCTGCCATGCCCACAGCCCAAAAATACTTATTTGAATTTAAAAGTTATTTTCCTAAAGGATGAGATTCGATCTTCGTCACTAACCATACGATAAATAACCGATTGAGGGTAGAGTACTATTAGAATGATTTAAAAATTATAACAAGAATAAGTATTTTAGTTGAACAAATTATAATTGACGATTTAAATTAATGCGTTTAGTCCACTTAACATTGGGGACCATGTTGGATTGGAAATTACATTCACAAGCAAAGCAACAAATAGGTAACATTATTTAATTTCAATGACTAAATAAGTTAGAAGAATACTTTAAGAGCCAACGTGAAATTTTACACAAACTTAAATGACCACTTGTGAAAAAACAAATCTCTAGAAAGTAGAAATACAGTAGAAATTTTGACGACGTCGTTTATCTCATTCACTAGACAAAAGGAGGTCGTTTAGGATTTGGCCTTAGGGTTTATGTTTTGAAAGTGGAGGACATTTTAAAGTTTACACCCGATTCAATTCAGTCAAAGGTGAGTCATCTTTGAACAATTTATTGTTTCATCAATGTTTTATACAATTTACAGAGTTTTTCTTCATGCGATTGGTACATCTGTTAGGATTATTTCACAATTCCCTGGATCCCGTTTTGTTCAACTCGGCACATTTGCATCAGCACCAACAAACAAATCAAAACCCAGATTAGAAAATGAAAATCAAGAAAATTTTACGGTTAACTACCTCATGAACGCATTGGGGTTTTCGCCAGAAAAGGCTCTTTCAGCCTCCAAGTACGTGCATTTTGATTCCACAGAAAAACTCGACGCGGTTATCGCAGTGTGGAAGAGTCATGGTTTTACGGTAGAAGAAATCGCACATATGGTGAAAAGGAGCCCCTCAATTTTAGTATGTGATCCTCAGAAGACTATTTTGCAGGAAATTGAGTTTTTCCGGTCGTTAGGC